TAACATTCTGACACAACCCCATAGCCAAAGTGGGGTGTAATCAGCACAACAAGAAAAGCAAAAACAAGCTCAGGGTGGATCACAATGTCACCACACATTCTGAGCACAAGTACAAGTAGTTTATAGTTAACAAATATAAGCAAAGCTAGAGCTAATCACAGAGGGCAAGTGAGGAGGAGGAGAGACTGTGGTGGGAGAGAAGATGGGAGGCAACGACTGAAGCTGCAGAGGCACGGGCACAGGAGCGGCTGACTCAGAGGCTACCGAAGCAAGGGCGACGGACTACTGGAGTGACTGGCTCCGCGGCTATAGACGAGCGGCAGGAGCAACGGACCCACTGGCGACTGGTGCAACAGGCTCACTGGCTACCGAAGCAAGGGCGACGGACTACAGGCGCTGCAGGCGACTAGACAGCTACCTTCACACAACCTCCTCCAACTGCCCCACTCCCCTCTCACAAACCCCCTGTTCAAACCCTAGCTCCACTCCCACAGCACCCCCCTTATACCCTAAACCCTAGGCTCCCACACACCCACCCCCCTCAGCGACAGCTGCAGCAGTGGGAGACAAGGGAGGAGGAGGAGCAAGGGGAGGAACACAGAACCGCCACCCCCACACCCGCCACCCCCATGCTCTGCACCCCACACCCCCAGCACCACGGAATGCACGGGGGGGGGGGGAAGGGCCGCGACGGGTCGAGGCGCGGCCCTGCCCCCGGGCGCCAGAGCAGGCGGCAGAAGGGGCGACGCGCGGGCCCCCCCAAGTCGCCCCTCCCGTCGCCTGTCGAGGCGACCTGAGGGGGGCCGCGGGCCGGGGCGGGGCCGCGACGGCTGTCGGGGCAGGGCCGGGGCGGGGCCGCGACGGGGCCGCAACGGGGCCGCGACAAAGCCGCGGCGGGCGACGGGGCAGGGCCGGGGCGGCGCCGAGACAGGGCCGCGACGGGGTGGCGCCGGGCGACGGGGCAGGGCCACAACGGGGGGCCGCGACGAGAGGGCGCGACGGGGGGGCCGCGACGGGGGGCCACGACGGGGGGCCGCGACGGGGGGGGGGGGGCCGCGACGTGGGGCCGCGACGGGGGGCGGCGACGTGGGGCCGCGACGGGGCCGCGACAGGCGACGGGGCAGGGCCGGGGCGAGGCACCGCCGCGCGCCACGGGGCGCCCGACGGTCAGAAAACCGCCGCGCGCCACGAGCGCACGGCTGGAAGAAAAAAGGGCCGCGCGCCATAGGCGCGCGGCAGGCAAAGTAGTAGCAGCGGAAGCAGGTGGGCCCACAAGCCAAGAGCGTAACTGCTCTGACACCATGTTAAGATAGTAGGCAGTATGAGGAGCCATGGCTAGGGTTTAGCTAGCCAGGCAAGACAGAATAAGCAAAAGAAGAGGTTTTCACTAGCAGCAATGAGGATACATATAGCAAACCCTAGATGGGTTGTACTCGCTATAGAGCACCCCACTACAGGCTAGAGAATAACATTCTGACAGTTGTTACAGCCAGCCTCCCCACTGCATGTTCCCTCTCCTTACACTGAGCAGTCCAGCGGTCTTACAGAGCGTCATGAGCCTCCGTCTCGTCCTGTCTCGCCTGTTCGCAGTGCTCGTCGCGCTCCTCGTTCGCGTCCTCCTCCTGTCCCCGGCACGCACGCTATGGCACTCCATCCTTCCTCTGTTCCACTGCGTGTTTCTCTGCCCGCTCCTCCTGAGTCCTCTCTTCCTGAGGTCCCTGACCCTGCGTCTGATCGCGCTCATGCTGCCAGTCCCAGTGTCTTTCGTCTCCTCGCCACTGCTGTCACTGACCCTTCCTTTGAGTCTGCTGCTGCGTCTGCTCTCGTTGCTGAGCTGCTTGACTTTGTTGCTGCCTGCCGTCTCGACTACGCCACTGCTCTAGTTGCTGAGTCTGTGTCTGCCAGTCCTCCGTCCGTCGGGGGTGAGTGTGCTCTCGGCACGGACGTCCTTGAGGACAGGCAGGAGGACTTTGAGTGTCTTGCAGCTGCTGTACCTCGTTTCGCTTCCATGTTGCTTGCCCCTGAGGGAGACCCGGATGCTCCAGACATCCCGACCCCGCGCTCTTACGCAGAGGCGATTACGGGTCCTTACTCCTCTCAGTGGCAGGCAGCTATGGATGCCGAGATGGCATCCTGGAAGTCCACAAGCACCTATGTCAATGAATTTCCCCCGTCTCGGGCGAACATAGTCGATGGCATGTGGATTTTCAGGGTGAAGCGGCCGCCGGGTTCTCCGCTTGCCTTCAAGGCGCATTACGTTTCTCGAGGCTTCAGTCAGCGAAAGGGAGTTGACTACTCAGTGACACATGGTGCACCAGGTCCTTCAGCGCTTCGGCTTCCAGTTCTCCTAGCCACAGCCCACTCCTCTGTCTACCAGCCACTCGCTCTCAGCTCCACCTTCGGACGAGTCCGTGGAGCCGAGTGGTCCGTACCCAGAGCTTGTGGGTTAAATCATATACCTGATGAAGTGCACACGACCTGACCTAGCGTACCCTCTCAGCCTTCTGGCTCGCTACGTGGCTCCCGGTAGGCACCGAAAGGTGCACTGGGATGCTGCGAAGAGGGTATTGCGTTACCTATGCAGTACGTCGGGCATGGGGCTTGTGCTTGGAGGACGGGTTCCAGTTGTTCTCACTGGTCACGCAGACGCCTCCTGAGTTGACGACTCAGCTACGCAGCGGTCGTCACAGGGTTACACCTTCAGCCTTGGTTCCGGCTCTGTTTCTTGGCGGTCTACCCGCTCGTCTTCGGTCCTCAGCTCCAGTTGTGAGGCTGAGATCTACGCCGGGGCCATGGCTGCTCAGGAGCTACGCTGGCTCACCTACCTGCTGACCGACTTGGGAGAGCAGCCTCGTTCGCCTCCAGTTCTGTACGTAGACAACAAGGCCATGATTGCACAAGGCACTGATACAAGGCAATCATGGCAACAAGGCACTGACTGGAGCACAGAACGAAGCACATCGCTCTGCGATACTTCCTTGCTCGAGATCTGCAGCAGCGTGGCCAGCTTCGTCTTGCATACGTGGCCACTCAAGCCAACACTGCTGATGTCTTCACCAAGGCACTTCCGCCTGGTGATCATCAGCGCTTTGCTACTGTGTTAGGCCTTGTGCCTACTTTGCCTCACTTGCTTACTGCTTGACTCTGCTTGTACTATGATCTATAGATATACCTGCATGCTTGCACTTGATAGGGTATGATCACTGTATTGTTTGTTCTCTATATATAACTCTGCATGTGAACTGGCCTTGTGGCCCTTTGCTTGTGCTCGGACTGTGTGGTGACTTTGTGATCCACCATGAGCTTGCTTTGCTTTTCTTGACTAGTCTTGTGACCACATGTTCTCCCCCACTTTGCCTATGGGGGTGTGTCAAACTTATATGTTGCACATTGTGTAGGCTGTAGTGGGGTAGCCCATATGGGGTACAACACAACTCAGGGTTAGTACTTGTACTCATCCTGCTGCTAGTTCATTCCATTCTTGTTCTTATGTTTGACAACTGTGTCCACCGCCTGACCACTCGCAGCCGCCGTTACAGCCAGCCTCCCCACTGCCTGCTCCTCCTTACACTGAGCAGACCGGCGGTCTTACAGAGCGTCGTGAGCGTGCATCTCGTCCTGCCTCCCCTGTTCGCACTGGTCTTTGCGTTCCTCGTCCGCGTCCCCCTCCTATCCCAAGCACACACGCTATGGCACTTCATCCTTCCTCTGTTCCACTGCGTGTTCCTCTGCAGCCTCCTCCTGAGTCCTCTCTTCCTTCCGTCCACTGTTGCCACTGTTGTCACTGACCCTTGTTTTGAGTCCACTTCTGCGTCTGCCCTGGTTGTTGAGCTCGTTGACTTTGCTACTGCCTGTCGTCTAGACTATGCCAATGCTCTTATTGCTGAGTCTGAGTCTGCCAGTCCTCCGTCCGTCGGGGGTGAGTGTGCTCTTGGCACGGACGTCCTTGAGGACAGGCAGGAGGACTTTGAGTGTGTTGCAGCTGCTGTACCTCGTTTCGCTTCCATGCTGCTTGCCCCTGAGGGAGACCCGGATGCACCAGACATCCCGACCCCGCGCTCTTACGCAGAGGCGATTACGGGTCCTTACTCCTCTCAGCGGCAGGCAGCCATGGATGCCAAGATGGCATCCTAGAAATCCACAGGCCCCTATGTGGACGCAGTTCCCCCTTCTCGGGCGAACATAGTCGATGGCATGTGGATTTTCATGGTGAAGCGGCCGCCGGGTTCTCCGCCGGCCTTCAAGGCGCGTTACGTTGCTAGAGGCTTCAGTCATCGACGGGGTCGACTACTTTCAGACCTTCTCCCTCACCCCGAAGACGACTACTCTTCGGGTGTTGTTGCACGTCGCTGCTCAGCGTGACTACGAGTTACTCTCTGGACTTCAGTACAGCTTTCTTGCAAGGCAGATTGCACGAGGAGATCTGGCTGCGCCACCCACGTGGCTTCACTGTGTCGTTTCCTGCAGATACCCAGTGGAGCTTCCGTCGGCCAGTCTACGGTCTCCGCCAGGCACCTCGCGAGTGGCACGACACACTGAGGACTACACTTACGGCTCTGGGGTTTACTCCTTCTACTGCTGACCCGTCGCTGTTTCTACGCACCGACATGTCGCTACCGCCGTTCTACGACCTCGTGTACGTCGACGACCTTGTCTTTGCCACTGCTGACACTGAGGCATTGACCCTTGTGAAGTCGGAGCAGCAGAAGAGACACACATGCACTGACCTGGGTGAGCTGCGCAGCTATCTTGGCTTGCAGATCACCCGGGACAGAGCACGGTGCACCATCACACTGACTCAGTCACACATGGTGCACCAGGTCCTTCAGCGCTTCGGCTTCCAGTTCTCCTCGCCACAGCCCACTCCTCTGTCTACCGGCCACTCGCTCTCAGCTCCACCTTCGGACGAGTCCGTAGAGCCGAGTGGTCCGTACCCAGAGCTTGGTCTTGCTGTTGCCCCTTCTCCATCCCCTCCCACTAACCCCCAACAGCCTGTCGTTATGCACCACCCTGCCTTCGGAGTCCACCCACCAGCGCGACTCAAACACCTCCACTTCCTCTTTCCCTTCCTCCTCACTCCACTCCTCTACCTCCACCTGCTCTTCCACCCCACCGTAAACCAACCCACCACCGCCATTCCGCCCCGCAGCTACCTTCCCCTGCTGCTGCCCCATTACCAGGGAGCCGGCCAAAGGCCCCCAGCAGGCTCACCCTCTATGTGTACGACCCTGCGTCCCCCCTCCCCCACGCGCCCTCCCTTAAAAATATTTGTAGCGAGCCCTACTATTTCACTAGGCTCCACCAATTGGAGGACAGAGGCAGCTGAGTCTGATCCTTCTTAGGCTGGACCAGCCACTGCCTTTGCACCTGCCCATGTCCTGCTGCTGTTATGCTGCAGCAGCGCCACTGCTGCCGCTCCTGCTGCTCCTGGTGTGGGAGCAGCAGCAGCAGAAGCAACTCCAAGGTTGACGGAGAGCCGAGCGGGCAGGTACTGCTGCCACGGGTGGCACTGCCCAGGTGTCTTCTTGACGGACTGAGCAATGAGGTCTACTATGGACTGGGTGCACACACACACACACCGCTGGTCCCCAACCACCTCCTCCCTGTCTGCATCCTGCGGTTCTGGCGCCAAAGGAGCAGGAGGAGGATGCAGTGAGAGCTGTGCAACTGCAACTCCATCGACTGCACCAACAGCGCACACCCCGTACACCCTGCAGCGCTGCTGCCCAGCAGCACGCTGAGTTTCGGCATCAATGGTGTTGGCATCAATGCTGTCGGCATCACGTGTGACGGCATCACGTGTGTCAGCATCACGTGTGTCGGCATCATCTGGGATGGAGTTGCTGCAGTGGGGCCTGCTGGCCCCTCCGCCTCCATCGGGGTTTCACTTCTCCGCCCTGCCCAACCTCTGCCCACATCTGCCTCTTCCCTCTCCTCGCGCCTCTCCACGCACCCCTCCTCATGCCTTTCCTCGTGCCTCTCCTCATGCCTCTCCTCATGCCTCTCCTCATGCCTCTCCTCATGCCTCTCCTCATGCCTCTCCCCGTGCCTCTCCCCATGTTGTGGATCATGAAGCTGAGCATCCTGGTGGCCAGGCCAGGCACGTCGCCACCTCGTGCCATCTGCTGCCTCAGCTGCTCCATGCGCACTGCACGTGCCACACCTTCGCCTTCACCTGCCTGCACATGCAACAACTCCCCCTCATCTGCACCAATCAACCCCCCACCTCCATCACCGCGGCCATTGCCAACCCTCTCGCCATTGATATCACCATTTATCACCTCACCCTCCATGCCTCCCTCCCCTCCGCGTCCCCTCCTCCGTGCTCCTCCCATCCTCCGCGCTCGTTCCCTCCTCCGCGCTCCTCCCCTCCTCCGCCCTCCTCCCCTCCTCTGCGCTCCTCCTCTCCTCCGCGCTCCTCCCCTCCTCCGCGCTCCTCCCCTCCTCCGCGCTCCAGCATTCTCAAATCGTCGTGCACGGCACCTCCCTCTTCCACCACCTTCTACCGCACTGGCCTCTACCGCACTGGCCTCTACCGCACTGGCCTCTACCGCACTGGCCTCTACCGCACTGGCCTCTACCGCACTGGCCTCTGCAACATCCGCACTGGCACGGGCAGCAGCATCCTTGTCCTTCTCCCCAAACGCGGCGCACCAAAATTAGCGGTGTAAAACATGTCTTCTTCCAGGTCCATGACGAGATGCTTTATGAGTTCTGCCACACAGAGAATAGGCGAGAGGGCGAAACACACACACATGCACACACACATGCACACACACATGCACACACACATGCACACACACATGCACACACACATGCACACACACATGCACACACACATGCACACACACATGCACACACACATGCACACACACATGCACACACACATGCACACACACATGCACACACACATGCACACACACATGCACACACACATGCACACACACACACATGCACACACACATGCACACACACATGCACACACACATGCACACACACACACATGCACACACACACGCACGCACGCACGCACGCACAGACACAGGCACGGCCCATCAGCGACCGTCAAGACGTACAAGGTAGAAGCAAACGCTTCCTGGAAACACAGCAGGGGCGTGAGGAGGTTGAGAAAAGTTGCAACACGTGGGATGCGGACAAGTAGTGAGAAGGCACAAGTGGATGGTGGAGGGCGGTGGTGGCTGGCGCGGTGTACCTGAGAAGTCGCACAGCTCCATGCCTGGCAGATCTTCCACATCAAACGCTGCAATGGGTGTTGCATCCACGGATGTTGCTGCTACGGGTGTTGCTGCTACGGGTGTTGCTGCTACGGGTGTTGCTGCTACCATGCCCTCATGCTGGTCCATCCCCCTAGCCCACTCTTGCGCACCCATGAAACAGTCCTCATCACCCGCACTGCCATCCGCCTGATTCAAAGAGACAGAGAGGAGGAAGGCGCGGAGAAGTCAAGAAAATGGCATGAGGCGGAACAAGTGGGTGGGAAACAACAGATAAAATCTACCCCAAAATAGGGCAAGGCCCGGGAAATCCCAAATAAAGCTCTAAAAACAGAAGAGGTTCGAAAAAAACACAGCAGCCGCAATACCTCCAGGAGACGCAGCTGCGCGTGAGGCGCAGGGCGCGCATTGAGCAACTGCGGACCGGGCATGATGGCGCCAGCAGCGCGCACAGGCCGGGTCCTCGCAGGGATGCCGCCAAGGGAAATGGTGGGGAGGGGAGCAGCGGCGGAGGGAGCGGCGGCAAGCGCTGCGAACATCCATCCGCTGCGCAGCAGGCGGCTAGCTCGCAGTAGGCGGCTGGTTGTTCTTGAAAAAGCGGCACAGCACGTAGTCCGCCACGACCGCGGGCTCCAGCCGGTACTCGTATATCGTCCAGTCTGTCCGCTCGCCACGTGGCGCCCTCCTCACATAGAACACGAGCGTCTTCCGGAACCCTATTAGACGCGGCGTGCGCGAGCTGCGCATGGGCTTGTCGTCGCCGGTCGACTTCCAGTACCCTCTCCGCGTGGCACGATTGAAAAGCGAGCCGTTCTGATATTTCTTCTCGCGCACGCAGAAGAAGTACCACTCGCCGGCTTCGAGGGGCGACTGGCTGGGCAGGTCCCATGGCTCGTAGCGGAGAATGTTGACTTCAGCGATCAGCCCATGGTCGTCCGCGAGGCGGTTCTCCACCTTCCGCCGCAGGTAGCCGTGGACCAGCTCCTCGTCCGTCGGACGGAAGCCGTATCCCGGCGGTAACCGCCGCAATGCCGCCATTTTCTACTGCTTTGTGATTGGTTGACGATGCTAAATCCAGCTGCTAAGAAAGCTGTGGAAGAAAAGCTCCGCAAACGAACTCTAACTCTACGAGAAGGTATTAGGGATTGAAAAAGAAAGAAAATAAAAAATCAATTATGTCGTGACTGCGAGAGATTGTGGGAGCTCAACGAGGAACGTTGATCCTTGATTGTTAGACACAGCTGGTAACTGTAAAACTGGGGCGGCTGGTATAGTAGCAGGGTGAGATCGAGGAGACGCCAATGGACGAGGGGCGGCGGGAACTTGCGCAGATGGTAAGCGGAGCCATTAGGCAGGGACGGAGGGGAGGTTCGAGCGGAGAGAGCTACTCGTGCGCCTTCGAGGAAGGACGTGCGCGGAGGGATCTGAAGGGAATGGGGAGGATCGAAAGCGCGGAGCAGAGCGAGAGAGCGGAAGCCGGCGGGAGAGTGGCGGCTGATCACCTTCTTTGCAGGTGATCTCGCACGAGCGCGACGCCGCAGAGCAAAAAGTCAACCTCGTTGATTGTTCCTTAACCTGACCGGCCCCATGGAAAGCGCGATTCTACTCCTTTGTCGATTGGTCAGGGGCCCCAGAATCTTGGCGCAAATGACGGCCCCAAACTTGGTTAGCGGAAATGGAACAGAAACAGGGTGGAAGCCATGAATGTACCTTCGAGTTTCCGTGGTCGTTACACTTTAGCGACCAAAATGAAGGTTCTACAATGAAACTGATAAACTCGTAACATCATGTACAGATTTGAGAATGGTGTGGTCAATCTAGTCCAAGGTTTGTTATATATAGGTGTAAATAATCTAATTCCTTTCTTTGCACATGAATACACCACATCACATCGCTGTTCACGGGCTCGATTGTTCCTCTACGTTACCGACTAACGGTGTTCGCGAACCCGCACGCATATTTTTTTTTTAAGATGCCAAATCTACCATAAGTGACTTAATGGGGAGTGGATTCAATTCTAATAACACAACAATTCCTGTGCTAGCATTTGGCTACCTTGGAATTGATGAGTGTCAACCCTCAAAGATCTGAGACAGAACAGAAGGTGCCGTTTGTGTGATATTATTCAGAGGGATGAAGAAGTCTTGAGCATAGACTTCCTTCACAAGCTCATACGCGTCCTGCACCAACAAAACACAAAAAGGTCAACCTGGCAGAAAACAAAATCCCTACAGGTAACACTTGATGACCATCACCCAGCCATGTCAGGGCTCAGGATCTCCCAGAACGCACAGCAGCAGCTGCAGCAGAACTAACCTTGGTGTATTTCTTGACAAGCTTGGTGTCGGCGCGGGTCTGGTGCGCGTTGACGCCGAAGTTGAAGATGTCGAGATGGTCGCCTCCGAATCGGTTCACCACATACTTGGCATCCTCCTCCAGATTCTCAAACCGCCCCACAAAGTCGTACTTTATCATCTGCATAAAGCACACGTCCACCTGCCAGCAGTGCAGCCAGCGAAGCAGCATAGGCAGAGAAGCGGCAGCAGAGGCAGGGCAGGCAGAGGCAGCACATGCAGAAGAGGCAGGGCAGAGGCAGCAGAGGCAGGGAAAAGGCAGCAGAGGCAGGGAAAAGGCAGCAGAGAAAGGGCAGAGGCAACACAGGCAGAAGAGAGGAGACAGCAGCACAGAGAGTCCATGAATGGCACATGAAAGGCAGGCGAACCGAGGTGATGATGCACGCTCATGCAGCTGCCCCGCATGCTCCCACTCTTGAGCACAGCTCCTCCCACAGCCCACCTGCCATCACAAGCCCACCTGCGAGGCTATGTGGTAGTCTTCTAGTGGAAGGTGCGCTTGAGCATAGCGACTAGGCACAGGCTCTGTGAGCATGCAGTTACCACCAACTCACCAGCCATCACCGGCCCACCTGCCATCACAGGCCCACCTGCCATCACCGGCCCACCTGACATCACAGGCCCACCTGCCATCACAGGCCCACCTGCCATCACCGGCCCACCTGCCATCACAGGCCCACCTGCCATCACTGGCCCACCTGCCATCACCGGCCCACCTGCCATCACAGGCCCACCTGCCATCACCGGCCCAGCTGCCATCACAGGCCCACCTGCCATCACAGGCCCACCTGCCATCACAGGCCCACCTGCCATCACAGGCCCACCTGCCATCACCGGCCCACCTGCCATCACCGGCCCACCTGCCATCACAGGCCCACCTGCCATCACAGGCCCACCTGCCATCACCGGCCCACCTGCCATCACCGGCCCACCTGTCATAGAAAAGTGCAGCGGACCCACCTGAGGGGCGATGTGGCGGTCCATCTTCCAGCGGAAGTTCTTCTTGAGCAGGGCAGCGAGAGACAGGCTCTGTGAGCATGCTGTTACCAGCCCACCTTCCATCACAATCCCATCCCACCTGCCACACTAAACCCATCCTTCATTACACTCCCACCTGTCACCAGAAGCACACCTGAGGGGCGACGTGGCGGTCCATCTTCCAGCGGAAGTTGTTCTTCATGAGGGCAACGAGGCGCATGAAGTCGGGGAATGACACGAGGTCGTCCTCGCCCTTTAGCAGCTCAAACTGCGGCCGCACGAACCGGAAGAAACGCTGTTGTGCCATGAGGGGGCAACCAGAGCAATGCGAGCAGGGGGAGAGTCCAAGGGTTGGATGAGATGAGATGAGATGAGATGAGATGAGATGAGATGAGATGAGATGAGATGAGATGAGATGAGATGAGATGAGATGAGATGACATGAGATGAGATGAGATGAGATGACATGAGTATCAGTAGAGGTCGTCCTCGCCCTTGAGCACCTCAAGCTGCGGCCGCAGAACCCGGAACAAACGCTACCGTGCCATGCCATGCCATGCCATGCCAACCAAAGGGGGGTCCAACGAGAGCGATGAGAGGAGCAGGCAATAATGATAGTTGGATGAGGTGTGTGCATTTGCACAGGTCGCCTGGCACTCGAGAAGAAAAACAAAAGTGCTGTTTGGGACAGCATAAGAGAGAATGCTGCAAGTGCAGCACGCATCATACCAATCCAACCACCCCTCACCTCAGTCGTCACCACCCCTCACCTCAGTCGTCATCACCCTTCACTTAATTCCCCACCCCCTACGCTCACCTCGTTCCAGTACTCGCGGGATCCCTGGCCTGTCTTGTTGTTGAGCGTGTCCGTGACCACGAGCTTGTTGGAGTAAGCCTCACCTCATTGGCAGCACCAGGCAGCAGCAAGCACGGGTCAGCCGCACACTCAAGAAGGCTCACCTCATTCCAATACTCGCGGGACCCCGGGCCGGTCTTGTTGTTGGGCGTGTCCGTGACCACGAGTTTGTTGGAGTAGGCGGAGAGGGCGCGGGAGAAGGGGTTGCGAACAAAGGTGAAGCGGAAGAAGTCCGGCCGGGTCACTAGACGGACCTGCAGAGAGGGGGAGGGGGAGAGGGAAGGGCAAAGGAGGTGCAGATGGGGAAACGGGATGAACAGTGTTCATGGACCTTGAGCATTGAAAGTGATGCCGCAGAGCGACACATGAACCTGAGGGGAAGGGGGCGGGTGGAGTATTGTGCCGGTGCGAGAAGGTGGATTGAGGAAAGATGGAAAGATGGACTGTGGGTGAGAGTTGAGAGTGAGGGTTGCAGATGACTGCAAAGCAGAAGAAATGCCGCCAACAAGAGCTCTGTACTCACCGCTTGCTTGAGCGCTGTACTCACCGCTTCTTTCTCTGTGAAGTGTCTCCCCAGCAGGTGCCAGCCGGCCTTGTCCACATCGAGGGCGAGAATGGGGTCATTCGGGTCGGGCTGCCCCAGCTTGGCGCGCAGCCACATGAGCCACGAGTTGGCCGCCACCTTGGGCATGGTGCACACCACTAGCTTGAGCTTCTCTGCACGAGGGGCCAGGGGACAGACATGGGATGCAATGCATGGGAGGGATGAGTGAACTCAACTTGGGCATGCTGCACACAACAGCGCCGGCCCATCTGATGGGCACAGTGGCTCGCCGGTTGCAATGCATGGGGAGCGACAGGAAGGGAGAAGCAATGGGCATGGTTGGTGGAGCAGCAGGGAAGCCCAAGCAAGAGAGGAAGCACCGTGCACACCTCCTGCTTGAGCTTCTCTGGTGGGGAATGGAATGGCCGGGGGGGGGAGGGAGGTGGTGGATGAGGGATGGGTGAGAGAGAGGGCGCTGGGGGGCATGCTGCGCTCCATCTAGCCCGCATGGCACAGACTGAGCAGCACGGCACATGCTGAGGTGGCGGATGCTGAGGTGGCGCATGCTGAGGTGGCCATGCTGGCATGAAATTTCGGGCTCGCATGGGTGAACCACGACCATCTCACCTTCCACCTGTGTGAACCACGACCACCGGTGGCGAATGATGGGCGGCAGTCTTTCGGTCTCGCAGATGGACGGCAGCACCTGGCAGCACATGGCGGCGGGAGGGGTATGCACAGCAAGAGAGGGAGTGACTAAGTGCAGGGGGAGGGGGGTGAGCACAGGGCGGGGATGGGTTACTCGTGTTAGGAACTTGCATCAAAACGAGTGAGTGGGTGGTGGTGCTTAAGGCTGTTAAGGACAAGGATGGCTGGGAGGATGGGAAGGAGACCGGGGGCGATCCCCACTGATATCAGATGGCAAAGCAGTCTCTTTGCCATGCATACGGCAGGTGCAAGGGGGCAGAGCAGAGCAGCAGCAGGAGGGGCATGGGGGGGGCGGCACCTGGAAGGCGGGGGAGCGGTGGGAGCCCTGGGCGAGGATGAAGCGTGCCTCGATGGCCCACCGGTGGATCGGCACCAGCGCCCTCGCCAAGCTCAGGGCGAACAGCTCCGCTGCCTGGCGGTGGGGAGAGGGGGAGAGGGGGGGAATTGGCAAGGGGAAGGGATGGAAAGGGGATCGGTGCAGCACGGGGGAGAAGGGGAGAAGAGGAGAGGGGGAGATGGTGACAGCAAGCATGTGCAGAGGCTGGCTGGGAGGAGAGAAAGGCGGTGGAGGAAAACAGCAGAGGGAGGGGAACGGCACAGCTTGTGGGTGGAGGCGTGAGGAGCGGTTGAGGGGTGAGGAGCGGTTGAGGGGTGAGGAGCGGTTGAGGGGTGAGGAGCGGTTGAGGGGTCGGGGCCCATTGAGGGGTTGAAAAGTGATTGAAGGGCGAGTGGTGAGTGGAGGCTTGAGGAGCAGTGCCATGTATGGTGAATATGAGCGTTTCGGGGTCGCGCAATGTGGGCCGCTAAAGAGTGACAAGTTATGGATTCACAATGCACCCATGCACCCATGCAGCCACCCACACACTCATCCATGCACTGGTGGTCGCACCTGCAGCTGAGCGCACTTGATGCTGCTCCCGCCCACTTCACTCCCCAGCACCCCCTTCCCCTCTGCCAACTCCCTCCTCCCTCCCTCCTGACACGTGTCAAGCCGCGATTGGCTGGCCTTGAGCACGAGCGGGCGGCGGAGCTCGCTAAAGAAGTCCCCAACAGCGGTGACGTCGGGGGCGGCACGGGCGGCAAGGGCGAACGCGACGTGGGGGTCGTGCAGGAAGGCCATGGTGACGCGGCGCATGGCGCACAGTGGGGCTGATGAGTTGGCCACACGGGGGCAGCCTGAGCAGACGGTACCAGCAGGGGGAGTCTGGTGGTGATGGGGAGGGGGGAGAGGGAATGTGAGGGGAGGGAAGAGGGGGGAACCCCACATGGGGGTCGTGCAGGAAGAACATGGTGATGTGGCGCATGGCACAGAGGGGGGCTGATGAGTTGGCCATACAGGGACAGCCTGAGCAGGGGGCACCAGCAGGGAGGTCGTGGTGCTGGAGGGGAGGGAGGAGGGGCGAAGGCGACGTGGAATGACGAATCGGCCATGGCAGCCAGAGCAGACGGTACCAGCAGTAGGGTGCTGCATGTGTGTGGTTGGCGTGTGTGGGTGGGCAGGTGAAGGGGAAGGAGATGGAAGGTGAGGGGAGAGAGAAGGAAGGCGGGTGATGAAGAAGGGCCTACCCCACTTGCTGATACATCGGTACCCTTGCACAGCCAGCCATAACAGCAGCACAAGCCCATGGCCACCCACTGAGGTGCAAGTACGCAGTGGGGTGTGTGGGCAGGCAGCCTCACCGAAACGCAGATGGCCTTGGAGGGCTTGAGCGCGCCCAGGTGCTCGTGCATCACCAAGGTCAGGGTTTCGGGTTTAATCTGTCAGGTTTAAGAATTAGGGTTTACGGTTTAGGCATAGGCTCGCCGGCTTGATAGATGAGCTGTGCAGTATCCGCCACCGGGTGGCACACAACTCTCTAATCCGCCTAGAGTGGCACACAACTCTCTAATCCGCCTAGAGTGGCACACAACTCTCTAATCCGCCTAGAGTGGCACACAACTCTCTAGTCCGCCTAGAGTGGCACACAACTCTCTAATCCGCCTAGAGTGGCACACAACTCTCTAATCCGCCTAGAGTGGCACACTCTCGCTAATATGCACACAGTGGGTGCATGCAGGCTCACCGACACATAGATGGCTTTGGAGAGCTTGAGTGCAGCCAGGTTTTCCTGCAAGGTGAGGGTGGCACACTGTGCACCATACGAAATAGAGTGCCATGCCATGCACTCACTGGCATGCATACAGTGGGCCAAGGCAATGCAGGCACACCGACACATACCGAGACATAGATGGCTTTGGAGAGCTTGAGTGCAGCCAGGTCCTCGTGCATCACCAGCGCGCCCACTGCCGTGGAGGGGCGCAGGCGCCCCAGACACGCGTCCACGTGCTTGTCATACGCGCACCCGTCCAGGTTCACTGCACCGGAAGCCTGCTGGGGTAGGGGGAGGTAGGCAGTCAGAGAGGTAGAGGCAAGGCGGGTAAGGGATGAGTGAATGGGATGAGTGAATGGGATGAGGGAATGGGATGAGGGAATGGGATGAGTGAATGGGATGAGTGAATGGGATGAGGGATTGGGATGAGGGATTGGGATGAGGGAATGGGATGAGGGATTGGGATGAGGGATTGGGATGAGGGAATGGGATGAGGGATTGGGATGAGGGATTGGGATGAGAAAATGGGATGAGGGATTGGGATGAGGGATTGGGATGAGGGAATGGGATGAGGGATTGGGATGAGGGAATGGGATGAGGGATTGGGATGAGGGAATGGGATGAGGGATTGGGATGAGGGAATGGGATGAGGGAATGGGATGAGTGAATGGGATGAGTGAATGGGATGAGGGATTGGGATGAGGGAATGGGATGAGGGATTGGGATGAGGGAATGGGATGAGGGATTGGGATGAGGGAATGGGATGAGGGAATGGGATGAGGGAATGTGATGAGGGAATGGGATGAGTGAATGGGATGAGTGAATGGGATGAGGGATTGGGATGAGGGATTGGGATGAGGGAATGGGATGAGGGATTGGGATGAGGGATTGGGATGAGGGAATGGGATGAGGGATTGGGATGAGGGATTGGGATGAGGGAATGGGATGAGGGATTGGGATGAGGGATTGGGATGAGGGAATGGGATGAGGGAATGGGATGAGTGAATGGGATGAGTGAATGGGATGAGTGAATGGGATGAGGGAATGGGATGAGGGATTGGGATGAGGGAATGGGATGAGGGAATGGGATGAGGGAATGGGATGAGGGATTGGGATGAGGGAATGGGATGAGGGATTGGGATGAGGGAATGGGATGAGGGATTGGGATGAGGGAATGGGATGAGGGAATGGGATGAGTGAATGGGATGAGTGAATGGGATGAGTGAATGGGATGAGGGAATGGGATGAGGGATTGGGATGAGGGAGTGGGATGAGGGAGTGGGATGAGGGAATGGGATGAGGAATTGGGATGAGTGAATGGGATGAGGGATTGGAATGAGGGAATGGGATGAGGGAATGGGATGAGGGATTGGGATGAGTGAATGGGATGAGGAATTGGGATGAGTGAATGGGATGAGGGATTGGGATGAGTGAATGGGATGAGTGAATGGGATGAGCGAACGGGATGAGGGACTGAGATGAGCGACTGGAGGATGCAGGCACAGGAAGAGGTCGAGATGGCACACGAGGGTGTAAGGGGAGGGAGGGAGGTCGAGATGGCACACCTGGGACTGAGCGGAGGGGGCAAGGTAGCGCCTGAAGGGCAGGGCGGTGCGCCTGCTCTTCCTCCTGCTGCCTCGAGGACACTCCTTGAGCATCACCTGCAAGGGAGGTCCATGCCGAGGGGTCCAGAGAGTTGCAGAGGGGTCCAGGGAGACCCAGCCATTGATATAACAATTGCCTCACCTCTCACAAAATCGTGCTGCTATCATTAGCGCCCACCACAGCTCCCCACACCACAGCTCCCCACACCACAGCTCACCACAGCCGACCACAACGGCTCACCTGCTGCGACGTGTGCAGGCGGGCCGTGACCTCGCTGCTGGCCATGCGCACGTCGCGCACCCACACGTCGCGCGCCTCTCCGCTCACCGCCCTGTCCGCCACGTCCCCCGGGGGGATGGCCACGCTGCTGGCGGGGCGGAAGAGGTGGCGGAAGGTGGTGGCGGGCAGGTGGCGGTCGGCGGGCCACACGGCGAGCGTGGGCGCACTGGTGAGCGCCGTCAGCGCGTATGCCGCGCACACCGCATGCACACGCTCCGCCAGCGCGCCCTGGGGGGAGGGGGGAAGGGGGATGGAGAAAAAGGTGGGAAAGGCGGGGGGAGAGGGGGGGGATGCGCCTGAGTGTGCGCTGCTAAAGCGAAGCTCATGTGGCGCTACACTGCGTGCACGCACCCCCACAGCGAGCCCCGTGGGGGGTGAGGGGATGGGGGAAAGGGGAAAAGGGAATAGGAGAAGGGATGACAGAGGGATGCGAAGCACCCATGCCATGGCAACATTGGCGCCCATCACACACACCCCGCCTCTCTCCTCGCTGCTGCGAGCCCATGCTGTCCGCACTGAGACAGCGCAACCTGGGGCAGCCTGCGCAACCTGGGGCAGCCTGCGCAGCGCCGTCACATCACAGCCCCGTTGTGTCAACTCCCCACACCGCACAGAACCTTTTCGGCCACCACGCTCACCCAGCCGCCCACATTCAACGAGCGGTTGATAAGGCCATGCTGTTGCCATCGCGTCTGCCAGCTTCGTTCGTCCCATTCCTATTCGTTGATCTTCGCACGTTCGCACGTACCTTGTTCCATGGAGTTCCACCGTATCTTACCCCATGGCATTCGTGTGTTCGTACGCACCTTGCTCTATGGCAGTCGTACGTACGTTTCGCTCCATGAATTTCGTACATATCTCACTCCAAGGCACTTCTACGTTTTCGACTCCATTACATTCGCACATACCTTACTCAATGGCATTCGTACGTCAGTTAATCCATTGCATGATCCGAACATATCTTACACCGCTGCATTACTTGCAAATCCTCATCGTCCATCGCATTCGCATCTAACCTCCCCTTGCGTGAGCTCACCTCACCCTGCGTTCGCTTACCTCGGCCAGCAAGAGCGCCTGCGGTTCAGAGCAGTCGGCGGCGCCGGATCCGCCCTGGCAGCGCCACAACGACTTCACCTCGCGCTCCTTGTCGTCTTCCGACATCGACTCGACACCTGACGTCAGTGACTCTTCCTCCTCCTCCTCCTCTACACGCGAGCTTCTCGTTTGCGACGATAAATTATCCCCGTTATTAGGGAAATCTAGCTCAGCGGATAAGGCGAGCTTAGCAGCAGCTAACTCCCTGCCATTCTCCGCTGTTGCTGCTGCATCAGCCACCTGCGGCTCCTCCTGCTTCCCTGCATCACTCTTAACCGTTTCCGAGACGCTGCTCGCGCTTTCTGAGACTGAAACTCGTGACTTCAGTTTCCCGGCGTCAGCGGCCTCCTTGATCTCTCGCCGCGCGAGGGACGGGATCTCGAGGATTGGACAGATGCCCGGTTCGCGCGACCACAGGCACGGCACGATGGGCTTTAAGACGAGAACGAGCAGCAGCGCTGCGCCGAACCCTTTGACTATTCGAAACACGCTACTGGAGTGTTTCTTCTTGCCTGTCATGGCTGCAGCTGCTAAGCTGTACGCTTTCTGTCAAACGGGGATCTGAGCCTGCATCAATCTCTGATGCTCCTCAAAAAGTAAGTTCAATGTATACTAGAACCTGAGACCACATCGAGAGAACGTCGCGATATCGTTCACGGTTCTTCGGAGTCAATTGGAGGACTCTGAAAAAGGACGGGAAGGGGTGGGACTGGGCTCGACTGCTGTTCGGATGACTACTTCCCTTCGTCCTTTCAACCTGTGTCGGATTCACAAAGCCCAGTAATAAGTTACGCGGCGGAACGGCAGTGCAGGCCGTCAGTCAACTACGTGTATCGGAAGCCACTCGTCACTCAAGTAGAGCTTGGTGTCATCTTTTTCGGAGTGTGGGAGAAAGTGATCACAAAAGAGACTCAGAAACTTGACACTCATCCCTGCTCGGCTGGGGTGCGGACAAATTCAGTCAACTTACCTCTCAATCCATTCGCCAGATTCGCAGCACGTCACAGTCATGACCTTTCGCACCCGGACCTGCGACGATGTCGGGTCGCAAGGCCTGTGTTGACGGCAGTGCTTGCTCACTGGTTGTGCTTGTGCGACGGAGAGAGCAAACTGAACGAAAGGTGTGGACTGCCGGAGGTTTTGGATTTGGAGAGGTTAGGCGAGGCATTATAGGGGGGTACGGGGGAGTCCCGAGCCCTGGTGGGTTCGAATCCACCAGGTGCCTGGCCCGGTGGGTTTCGAACCCTCCGGGCGCGTCCATGGGCGGAAGCGAGCTGCCCGGGGAAAAAAACTATTCCCCATCGCGACCTGCATGCCATTCGGGAGCCTCAACCCTAAAATTTTAGGTTTGATGCCTTCCGATTGGGCTTTAGTTTTTATCCTGCCCGCGGGCAGATCACTTCCGCGAGCACGCGGAAGCGATCCCGCATTCGCCCGTGTTTTACTGTTTGAGCGCGTATGAACCTTGGAGAGGGTGTGAGGTATGGTAGGTCCGTTGGGTTTGCGCGAAGGCTCTAGCAGAACCTCCCGCCGTCGAAGCTGATTGGCCGAAGGGATGCCCAGTGGAAATGTCTACCTGACAAAGGTTGGGAGTGAAAGGTTACAACAGATTCGGAAACTCTGTGATGTGGTTCCTCGACCAGCCTTCTGACACGTGCTTCTGTTTTCGCGCCAGCGTCCTGGTTCGTACACATACAGTATCAAAAATGAGCCTCCCAGAACAGAAGCAGCTGGTCTGGTTTCGTAACGAACCTAGCGGTTTGCTCGCTGGTAAGGGTGAGTCGCTAATGGTTCGTTCAGAGCTCACACAAACGGTTGAGTACGATTTTGTGCAATCTAGAGCAGCTGTTTTAAGTTTTCCGTTCTGAACCGCTTTTTACCTTCTTTAACAGTGATACATGAACTGTAAGCAATTCAAGTGTGACCAGACCTAAGCGAATTGCTCCAAAGCGTGCCCCGGACGTGAGTAGTCATGGATGAAGCTTCGGTGCAGCAGTTCTGCTCAGCAACCGTGTGGGGTTCGGCTTGGCCTGGGGTGAGGTTCGTCCGAAGTCACCGGTCGCAGAAGGAGGGAGAGGCAAGCAAATTCGCGCGTGCGGCGCGGGAAGTGGCGGCGCGCTTGTTCCCAACTCCCATCTCCAACCTCACCTTTTTCCTGGTTCTGAATTCCATGTGTGCCTCCTATTCCCCCTACAGATGCTGAGCTATTCGGCCCCTGCTCTCCTTTAGTAAAGAGCGGATTCTTGTACCCTCGAAGTTGTATTCATTTTTGCAGCTGCGAGCGCCGTGAAGCACGTGCTTGCTTCTGAATTTACTTCCACCACGCACAACAAACATCGCCGTTCAACCAAAAGCACCCTGTCAGCCTACCATTGACGCGAAAGGCCTAGCCCGTAAGGTGCCGAGCAGCCGAATCCCTTCTCTCTGTGAACATAATTCCGTCCGTGGAGTGGTGGCACACGCGACTCACCAATCATGGTGTTCTTCCACAAGCGCAAAGCGTGCTCAACTCCAGACCGGCCGCGCGCCGCGTCATGGGAGCGGTGCGTGGTGATGGTGCTGCTGCCGCTCATGGTGCTCTACACCGTGGGCCACTGGATGGGCCCCTCCTGCAACCCTAACGTCGCCGTCATGCTCGAGGGCCGGTCGCTCGCCATGGGCGCCAAGAAGCTCTCCATGAGCTGGTGGACCGTGAAGGACGCATCTGACCGGGAGAACGGCGACGCGCGCTCGAATCTGTTTCTCGACGACGATCCGTGGAAATGCGACGCGAGCGACTCGCACGGCGATTGCCCTGTGCGACGAGCCGACGCCGTCTTCGTGGCCGCGGTACGTGGGGAGTGGAGGGCTGCTGAGGTCACAACCTCTCGTGTCCCACGGAGTTTGTACCACTTCTGAGAAACTTCTAAAGGATTACACCTCTCGTGCCCCACAGGGTCTTGACAGATTGGTCACGTCTTGACGTTTTGAACGGCTTCTGCGTCGCCCCCTTTGTTCTCCTGTCGCTCTTGAATCTCCTCGCGTTTTTTTAGCTCCCGAGCTCGCGGACTAGCTTCGTATGAAAGAGCTCGCCTCTCCCCCTTCTGACACCCCCTCCCCCATTCTCCCCTCTACACCACCCGTCCCCCTCCCCCATTGTCACTCTCTCCCCTGACGAATCCTCCCCCCAGGGCTCTGTGTCGCAGCGCTTGCACGCGGTGTGCGCGGCGTATGCGCTGACGGCCGTCACCAACATGCCAACGCTCGCCCTCTGGCCCGCCGACCGCCACCTGCCCGCCACCACCTTCCGCCACCTCTTCCGCCTCGCGGGCGACCCCGCGCCTTCCCCCTCGTCATCCCGCGCGCGCGGCGAGAGCGGGCGCGAGGGGAGCGTGTGGGTGCAGGACACGCCCGCTGAGGCGGGCATGCTGAGGCGCGCGCTCAAGGGCCGCCGACGGGTACGTTTGGCTGTTTCCGTTACCCTTGCCGTGCCCTGCGCGCTCAAAGGCCGCCGACGGCTGCGTCGTGCTCTTTGCTCCCGCTCGCCCTTCCCAGTCATTTGCCGCTTGCTCGCATCGCCCTTGCGATGCCCTGTTGTTGACACCCCTCCGCGCACCCTTCCGCCTGTTTCTCTGCGCCTGTTACTTCCCCCCTGTTACTCTCCGCCCGTTACTCTCCGGATGCTAGCCTCCCCGTCCTCCGCATCATCATCCCGCGTCCGCGCTCCCCTCAAGTCTCTGCCCGCTCCTCTCGACCTCTACCCCTCCGCCTCACCCCCCTCATCCCCCGCATCCCCTTCCCCCGCATCAGGTGGCGTTCAAGCCGTGCAAGAACTCGACGGACGGCCAGTCCGCCAGCGGCCTGCCGTTCAAGGTCTTTCTGTCGCCGGCCGTGCGGGAGAAATCCACCGGCCCCCTGCGCGTGGACGCGTTCGCGTTCGAGCGCGAGGTGGACACGTGTCTGGCCGCGATTCGCCCGTCGGCCGCCGTGGCGGCAATGGTGGTGGAGGAGGACCTCGCGCGCGTGGCGGCGTCGAGCGCTGTGCTGGTTGACGTGAGTGCGGTGAGGGGTGCAGTGCGGTGAGGGGTGGGGTGACTGCGGTCAGGGATGATGTTCTCAACCGATTCCCCCTGCCCACTCCTTTTCTTTGCACCCATCCTTTCCCCAGCCACCTTCCTTTCCCTTTCCTCATTTCCGCTGCCCCCCTCCTTTCCCCTGCACCCCTCCTTTCCCCCTGCACACTGGCAACAATGGCACCTCTCTCCTCCTCGCGCTCTTCACCCACCAGCATCTGACACAAGGCGTGTGCTCCGGGTGCACCGCCAACTCCAACCGTTCTGCACCGCACTGCACCATGCGCCGAGTCACAATGGAGTATCTATACGACCCAGCAGTGAGCTTCACAGCGGGAGGCCTCAACACGTCGGACCTCACGGTTCTCAGCAGCTACTTCAGCCCTCTCAGAACCCCTCTCGTGCTCAAGAGCACCCAGCAGCGGAATGCGTCGTGCCGCGTCGGGGGAGTGGAGGGGAGGGAAGAGGGGGAGGGTGAGAGGAGGGAGTTGGTGGAAAGTGGGGAGGAGGACCGGGTGGTAAGCGGAGTGAATGGGAGCGTGGTGGCGGCAGGAGGAGGTGCAGGGCTGGTGGTGCAACGCGGGGCAGATCGAGCGCTTGGGGCGCATGTGACGCGGTGTAGCCAGCTGCAGGTGAGTTGCCATGCACCAGGGCGCACGGTTCTGAGAGATCTCGTCTCAGGAGGGAACGATGTGAGGGACCAAGGGAGCAGCGACTTGAGCAGTGGCTCACTCACTCAGCTTCCGTTGTCCGTCTGCTTCACTATTCTAGGTCATTGTTCTGCTTGGATATTCTAGTCTCTCCTCACGTGTGTCAGCCTTAACTCCTCCCCTGCAGGTGGCAGAGCTCTTCACGCTCAGCTTCGCCCGCGGGCTGCTGGCAGTCAACCGGTCCTCCTTAGAAGCGCGCTTCGTTACAGCGCAAGGCCGCGCGCGGTCGGCGTCGTTTGGAGTGCACCGGTCGGTTTGTGAGTCGGTGGAGCTGCGGCCAATCACGAAGCAGAAGTGGGCCATGTTCACCCAAGTGGAAGGTAAGATGTCGCCCACTGCCTTGCGTGCAGCTCACCAGTGTTCACATCTCACCACTTTCAGCAAACGCTGCATGGACCCTCACCAACTCTCACCATGCATCTCATATCCCACCCAACCGTTCTCCCTTCTCTCCCAATGCAGAGCACCCCACGCCCCTCTCTTGAAAATTCAAAGCTCAAGTGCTCCACTCATCATGCCCGTTCCATATCCCTTGCCATTCTTTCTCGCATTCTTTCCGTGCGCCCCTCTCACAGAGAAGCTCAAGCTAGTGGTGTGCACGATGCCCAAGGTGGCGGCCAACTCATGGCTCATGTGGCTGCGCGCCATGCTGGGGCAGCCGCACCCCGAGGACCCCATCCTCGCGCTGGACCCGCGGCGGTCGGGCTGGCACATGCTGACGCTGCACTTCACGGAGCAGCAGGCGGTGCAGCAGGTGACCCGGCCGGACTTCTTCAAGTTCACGTTCGTTCGCAACCCCTTCTCACGGGTCCTCTCCGCCTACTCCAACAAACTCGTCATCACGGATGCGCCCAACAACAAGACCGGCCCGGGCTCCCGCGAGTACTGGAACGAGGTGAGGCACATGGTGCATGCCAGGTGCAGGGAGTCTTGGAACGAGGTGAGTCTGTCTGGGTGTGCGGTTAAGCTGTGCTGTGCTGTGCTTTCTGCTGCCTGTTGCTAGCCACTAGTGCTTGCCATCACGCACGTCTTTTGAAATGGGGCTGGTTTGCTTTCCCATGCTGCAAGGCACCTCTTCACCATGTGCCAATCATCCTTCCTTGTCCTATGCCCCCTCCTCTTGACTCGTCGCACAGCAATTCTTCAAGTACATTCGGCCGCATTGGGAGAAGGTGAAGGGAAAGGACGACCTGGTGTCCTTCCCTGACTTCGTGAAGCTCGTGGCGAAGCTCATGCAGAACCACCGCTGGCGCATGGACCGCCACATCGCATCCCAGGTGAGGCCATGCGGACAGGCACATGGCATGGCAGGCCCATACAGCGATAGCAAAGCAGTTCATGGCACACACTCGTCACCGCATGCCCTCCACCTCGTCAGCACATGCTCTCTTCTATGCTCTGGCCGATGGTGTGACAATCTCTCTTGTTTGTTCCATTCTCTTTTTTTTTCGTTATAATCTGCAGTCGGACATTTGCTTCATGGACAAGATCAAGTACGACTTTGTGGGGCGGTTTGAGAATCTGGAGGAGGATGCCAAGTATGTGGTGAACCGATTCGGAGGCGACCATCTCGACATCTTCAACTTCGGCGTCAACGCGCACCAGACCCGTGCCGACGAGAAGCTCGCAAAAAAATACGACAAGGTGCGCTTTTTTTTGTCTCCTGAGCCAGGTGCAGTTTTGGAAATAGGAACACGGATGGGGAAGGCATGCGTGTCAGACAAGGAGAGGCGATTTGATATCGTTCAAATGGGAAGTTTGTCCTCCAGTTGTTCCTTATTCCTTTGCTGACTTACAACTTTCTTTTCCATTTCCCATTGAATCGCCAGGAAACATACGAGTTGGTGAAGCGAGTGTTTGCGCGCGATCTACACATCCCTCTCAACAACATCACTCAACAAGCCCCCTCTGTCCTTGTGGAGATGTTCGAGACAAAATAAAGGAAAATGTTATAACTACTGAGTAACCCTTAACCGCTTACAGGATTGGCTAGTTGCCGAACCAGTCAAAGTACACATGCTCATATTTGCATGTGTCATTGTAGGCTAGATTGGGTTGTGCTATAGAGAGTATGGATTGCTACATGCCTTCAATATAGGACCCTTGTTTGTTAACATGTCAAGCAAGGTTTAGGACTCTCGCTTCTGCCCCACCTTCCCTAGCTGACTCTAGGCCGCCCCTCTAGCTGCACCCATCTGTCAGAATCCCAACCACTAGACCATTGGGACAAAAGGGCTTGTTAAGTAGCGGGTCAGTGCGCCCATAACCCCCCAGGACAACGAGCCTGTAACCCTTCCCTAGTATCAATCGGGGATCACCAGTGGACCTCTGACACCATCGCCCTCTAGCGCCCCGCCCTATCACGCCCCTCTCGCACCCCCTTCTCATAAACGGAAACAGCGGAATGATGGATTAGGAAAGGAAGGGGATACAAATATGGAACTCTAACATTGTTGTACTCTCTGGGGAGTACCTCACTAAAGCCTAACAGCAAATGTAACATTTGACACACCCCCATAGGCTAAGTGAGGGGCATCTCTCAAGCAAGGGAAACAAATGGTCACAAGACCAGTCAAGAAGTAACAACGCAGAGCTCAGGGTGGATCATGAAGTCACCACTGTCAGAATCCCAACCACTAGACCATTGGGATAAAAGGGCTTGTTAAGTAGCGGGTCAGTGCGCCCATAGCCCCCCAGGCCAACGTGCCTGTAACCCTTCCCTAGGATCAATCGGGGATCTCCAGTGGACCTCTGACACCCCCCCGCACTGAGATGCCCGAGGTGCACACACTGGGATTCGAACCCGAGACCTTTGCTCTGATACCATGTCAGAATCCCAACCACTAGACCATTGGGATAAAAGGGCTTGTTAAGTAGCGGGTCAGTGCGCCCATAGCCCCCCAGGCCAACGTGCCTGTAACCCTTCCCTAGGATCAATCGAGGATCTCCAGTGGACCTCTGACAACCACATACCGGTAGTCTGGCTGGGTACAATCAAGCGGGCGATCTTAATAACCAAGCCGATGCGGCGCTCAGCAACCCCCATTCTGCTGTGGGGACTTCGGAAGCGTCCAAGAATAGGTTGTTGGGCTGAGAAAAGCCCTTAGGATCTTTGCAGGACTAAATTCTGAGTAGGACAATGTAGTAGCGGAAGCGTTAAATGAGAACTTTGTGAACCACCTTGCGCTAGTATGTGAGGGCAAAGTAGATTGATTAAAACAAAGGGATACCGTATTCTCCCGGACAAAACACCCCCCCATAATTGTACACCCCCGGGTAGCTTGTGCGGGGTGGGTGTTATGGGGAGCCTCGTTTCTACTATACCCCCCTTTTTTGCTGATTTTCTATAACACCCCCCTTTTCTTACGAATTCGTTATAATAGTCGTTAACGAGTAGCTGCAATATTGAAGAATATCGCGAAAATTTCTCCCTACATGAAATTTCGCGGTACATTCACTTACAATCTACCGAGATTTCCCCCCCTCGCACTACTTCGCTGTGACCACGTGCAGGCGAATCTTCCGCTGCAAGTGGCAAGAGAGGTGCCACATGGCATTTTCGTGGGGGTGATGAAGCTCGTGGCCGAAACCCACATTCGCGCCTCAGACAGTGATGTTAAAATGAAAATCAAAATACCCACATTGTCTAATTAAATAAACACTAACACTAAAATATACCATATGTAAAGACCCGGGTATTATGTATTTTTTTCCTATGAGGAGACCCCCCCCATTTTTTCCCTGTATTTTTAGCTATACCCTAGGGTGCTATGTCCGGGAGAATACGGTACAAGCTTTTATAAGAATACAAGGAATACGAAGAGATACAGCTAATAACCGTTTTGCTGTTGCTGTTGCGGTTCGATATAGTGACGACTCGGGCAACTGCTCAATAGCGAGTCAGTTGTTTGTCCTTGCTGTCGTGCTGTATTTGTCAGGTCAAAAGTCGCTGACCTTTGACTTTCGCACAGGGCTTTTTTTTGGATTTTCACTACTCGGATTTCCAGAGCTGTTTTCTAGGGAACTCTGAAATTCAGGGTTTATTATGAGCGTACTCTGATTTGTCAGAGAAAACTTAACTTCTGAAAAATATACTTTGAGTTACCAGAGATCCTATGTTTCCAACTCTGAATGTCCTCTCAAGTATTGAACCCAGGCCTTCTGCACTCCTACCAAAACTGTCCCATTGTGCTACGCGCTCACTATATACTGAATGACGGTTTTTATACAAAGGTATTCTTACCACTTCCACCAATTGGGGGGAGCCTCGGTCGAAATGCCTATACCCTGTACAGAGAATACATTCGCCACAAATATACACTGGTCTCTCAGAGTAGCTAAAATCAGAACCCTGACAAATCAGAGAAAACTTATCTTCCAAAAAAATTACCCAGACACGTCAGAGTGACCCCCTAAAAACCACTCTGATTTTCAGAGAAACAGAGTAATTTACTCTGATAAAAAAACCCCTGCTTTCGCATAACCTCCAGCAGTTGTTCAACCTCCGAGGGTTGACTCGCTAATGCTTCGATATGTTTCGCTTCGCTTCTGACTTGGTGTTTCGACACGATAGAGGCGCTAAATCAATTGTTTCCAACACTCCCCTTCGCTTCTGGAGTGTCGCTACTGGTGACGTGGCTTTGTCCAGTCAGCAGCATGCAGTACTCGAACTTCTGCTTCCCGAGCTTCTTGGTCAAGTAATCAGCTGCCATCTCGGACGTGGGACAGTAAGACAGCTCAAGTCTCCCCTTCTCGATCTCGTCCTTTACGAAGCAATATCGCAGGGCGATATGCTTCGTCCTGTTCGCGAATCCGTTTTTGTTGGCTATGCGAATTGCCGACTGGTTGTCGCAGAACAAGGAGAAGCTGGGTAACTGAGCCAGCTTCGCCTCCTCCAGAAGTTCGCGAAGGTACAGCCCTTCCTTGGTGGCTGAGCAGAGTGCGATATATTCAGCTTCAGCTGAAGAGAGAGCAATTAATTCCTGCTTGCTCGACTGCCAGGAGATGGGTCCGATAGGCTCGAGGCGATAGATGTAGCCGGTGCGTGAGCGTCTGTTGTCGGAGTCGCCGGCGTGATCTGCGTCGACGTAGCCGATTAGTTTAGGTGTCGTAGTCCCGTTCTTGTGGTAGGTTAGACCGACGGTTGAAGTGCTGACGAGGTAGTGGAGAGCACGGTCGAGTTCCGCCATGTGTTCTGCTTCAGGTTTCTTGAGGTAGGTCGCGAGCTGACTTGCGGAGTACGATAGGTCCGGACGGCAAGTGACAGCTGCGAAGAGGAGACATCCCAGCTTTCTCTGGTAGTCGCGTATGCCGGCGGGTTTTAGTGGAGCGGATCCTTCCTTGTTATTTCCTGCCGTGTAGCGATATGGCGTAGAGATGGTGGTCGGCATGAGTGCGAAGCGTTTGGCGATGGTGTCGGCGTATTTTGCGGCGTTGAGGTAGATCGCGTCTTCTTCTTCCTGGATGTTGAGGCCGAGATACTGCGTGACAGTGGACGAGACTGTGAGCGTGAGATCCTTCTGTAGTTCCCCTTCGAACCAGGTGGTGACGTTGTTGGTCGAGCCGATGTAGAGTAAATCGTCCACGTAGATGATCAGTAGGATGTAGTCGGTGCCCTTTGTGAGCCGATACATGCCCTGGTCGTGTGGTAGTTGGCGGAATCCAACGCGAATAAGTCTTGCGTGCAGATACTGCTGCCACAGCCTTGGAGCTTGTTTGATGCCGTACAGGGATTTTTGCAACTGACAGACTTGGTTAGGTTCTCCGTGGGAGCCGTGTGGGAGTTCGACGAAGATTTCGGCGTCAACAGGTGCGTAGAGGAATGCGTTGGCGACGTCGATTTGCCGCAGTTTCTTTTTCTTCATGGCGGCGATCGCGAGGAGAATTCGTAGTGAGGTGTGTCGGCTGACCGGGGCGAATGTCTCGTTGAAGTCGCGTCCGTGCTCTTGGTCGAAGCCGCGTACGACCCAGCGCGCCTTAAACTTGTCAATGGTGCCAGCCTTTGTCTTCACACGGAAGACCCACTTCCCGGTGAGTAGTGTCTGGTTTCGTGCCACGCCGATAGGGACGACTTTCCAGGTGTTGCGTTCCTCCAGTGCTTGCAGTTCCTTGTCCATGGCTTCACGCCATTTTTCCCTATGCTCCCCCCCCAGAGCCTGCTGAACTGTGGCAGGCTCCTTAGGAATCTCCGTCCCGTGGACCGCGGTGACGAGGCCGAGTATCTGGAGGCCACTCTGTGTGTAGCGGGGGAGAGTTGTGTCCGCGGGATAAGCTGCTTCGTCACCTGCTTCTGGGTCAGGTATGAAGTTGGGCCCTATGCGTTCTGCTTCGTTGGTGTTGACTTCTGCAGGTGTAACGTAACCGTTGTCGGCGAAGTGGTAAAATACTTCGGCGTTGGCGCTTTCGTGAGGATTTTCGTCATCCATTGGGGCGTCGACGGAGCAGTAAGGGAGAGGCCCGGCTTCCTCCGAGGCTTCATCCACGTTCTGCTCGTCCCAGTCAGCTTCGTCTGCTGCCGAGGCGAAGGCTCGGTCACCACGGAAGCCACCTGTGGGGTCCCGATCTTCTTCCAGGTTGGCAAGATACGTCGGAAGGGTGAGTCATTCGTAGAAAATGACATCACATGCTGCTACTGTTTCTTTGGAGTGGACGTCGAAAATCTTCCACGCGTTGTAATTTCTTTCGATGCCCAGGTGTAGTCCCCACTGTGCGCGTTGAGAAAATCTTCCGGCTCTGGCAGTGTGTGGGCGATACTGTACCATGCAGCCGAAAACTCTTAACATTTTTGTGCTGCCCTGTTTTCCTGTCCACAGCAGGTGCGGTGATGCGTTGTTCGGTAGTGATGATGACGAGAGCAAGTTGTGCAGCATGACAGCGTGGTCCATTGCTTCGGGCCACTGGTGGTTGGGCAGTCGCATGCCTCGTAGCAGCTTGCGCATGG